GAGTATGATGAGACATTTGATCCAGTGGCTAAGTTGAACACTATTCGAGTCCTCTTGTCACTTGCAATGAATCTGAATTGGTTTTATTCCAACTTGATGTCAAGAATACATACTTGAATGGAGAGTTTATAGAAGAGGTGTACATATCTCTCCCTCCGAGTTTTGATTATACTGCCTCCAGAGAACAAGCGTGCATGCTACAAGTCTCTCTATAGGCTAAAATAGTCCCCAAGAGACTCGTTCAGCAAGCTCAAAAAGGTATTCGCGAGCCATGATTTTTTCAGGCTCAATCGAATCACACCCTCTTCTTTTGGCATTCCTCCAATGGCTAGGTAGTTATTCTTACTGTATATGTTAACGATATTGTTCTTATAGGTAGTGATCTTCCAGCATTTGAGTCCTTAAAAGACATCCTTGCCTCGTCCTTTGAGATGAAGAACGTGGAATCTCTTTGGTGCTTCTTAGGTATGAAAATTGTTCGATCATCTAAGGGAATTTGTTCGTCTCAACGCGAATATATGATTGATCTCTTGACAGAGAACAACCTTCTTTTGTGTAAACTCATTGTTGCTCCTACGGTTCCTAATGAAAATTTATCTGACATTCATAATGTTGTACCTATGAACAAGACTCATTATCAGCGTCTTGTAGAAAATCTCATCCACCTCACTCATTTTTGTGTAAACTCATTGTTGCTCCTACGGATCCTAATGAAAATTTATCTGACATTCATAATGTTATACCTATCAACAAGACTCATTATCAGCGCCTTGTAGGAAAACTCATCTACCTCACTCATACTCGCCCCGAAATATGCCACACAGTTGAAATAGTAAATTAATTCATGCATGCCCCTACAAGCACCATCTTCAATTTTTCCACTGGATTCTTCACTACTTAAAAGGTACACCTGGCTCGGGTTTGTTTTTCTCCCGTCACACCTCTTGGTCTGTTGCGCTGTATACAGATGTTGATTGGACTGGATCGGTTGATGATCGACGTTCCACCTTGGGTTATTACTCATTTTTATGGGACTATCTTGTCACGTGGAAAAGCAAGAAACAGTTTGTGGTTGCCCTAAGTAGTGTTGAACCTGAATTCCGATATATGTCCTTAGGAAACTGTGAAACTCTATGGCTACGCATCGTGCTCTGTGAACTCTGTATGCCAACATTCGTCCCGTTGCAGTTATTCTGTGATAATAAGGTTGCAATCAGCATTGCTCACAATCTAGTCCAACATAATTGTACCAAACATGTGGAGATTGACAAACACTTTATTAAGGAAAAGATTGAGTTCGCGGAGATTTGCATTCCATATGTGTCCTCCAGTGATCAACTAGCAGACATCCTCACCAAGAATCTGCCTCACCCTTTATTTGATGACTTCAAGTCCAAGTTAAACATGACTGTCATCTATGCTTCAAATTGAGGGGGGTATTAGATTATATCATTATTACTTATTATTTGATTTTATTCCCTCATTATATTTTTCCTCTTTTGCTTTGTTTTATTTTATTTTATTTCCTTATTATTTTACTCTGTTGTTATTGATTTTCATTGTTATGTCTATTGTAATTAGATTTAAATATCCCTCCTATCAATAAATTAGTGTTGGTTTATTCTAAATCTCAACACATACTCCTCAAAAGCATTTTATAAAATTAAAATAATATTATTAGTGATACATCATTAACAAATTATCATCATCCAACACGAATCTCGAAGTATG